ACACACAGAACGCGTTGTGGGAGGGAGGGATGAACAGGAGGAGGACGAGGATTTTTAGAGCAATGGAACTGGATGCAAGTCATTCTCCATTTGTCCAAACCCACAGAGTGGACAGAACGTCTACAGTGTACCGTAATGTAAAGTAAGGACTCAGTGATTACGATGCGTGAGTGTAGGTCCATCCGTTGTAACAATGTACCATCTGGTGGGGGATGTTGAGAGTGGGGTAGCTTCGTGTGCAGGAGGCGGGGGTCTACGGGAAATCTCTGCACCTCCCTCTCAATTTTGCTGTGAACTTGCAACTGCCATTAATAAAGTCTTTAAAAAATCACATAAAAAATACAAACATTAAGGGCTTCCCTGGTGGCGCAGTGGTTGAGAGTCCGCCTGCTGGTGCAGGGGACACGGGTTCGTGCCCCGGTCCGGGAGGATCCCACATGCCGCGGAGGCTGGGCCCGTGAGCCATGGCCGCTGAGCCTGCGCGTCCGGAGCCTGTGCTCCACAACGGGAGGGGCCACGACAGTGAGAGGCCCACGTACCGCAAAATAAATAAATAAATAAATAAAACCCTGTAAGCTATGCGTGATTTCAGATGTGACAACTAACGGCATTTGTGATGCTGACCTCTGAAGGATGGGATTGGGACGACTGAACTTGAATGTGGCCTGAGGACTGGTTAGGGGTGATGAGAATGTAAGTTTCCTGCATTTGGTATTCTTACCCTAGTTAGGCAGGGGACGGTCTCTGTTTGTATGAAATATATACCACAGATCTGGGGAGGTGATAGGGTGTCAGGCTGGCAGCTCACTAGGATAAGTTTAAGAAAAAAAAGTTCTTCATACCATACTTGCTGGAAATGAGAAGCAGACTGAGGAGGGACAGAGGGGAGCAGTAGCAGCCCATAGGGATGACTAGTTAAAGGAGAAGGAAGTGTCGGGAGAGAGAACTGTGCAGGGAATGTTAGAACATAAAAATGCACCTTGTGGGAGCGGCCGCTGCCTGGACCACATGCTGAAGGCGGCCTCGGCCACATGGCACCCAAGCCTCCTCCTGGGGGTGGGACGGCGGGAGCCCTCCAAAGTGGAACAATCAAATGCACTTCACACTTGCCAAGGGACAAAGGCCAAAAGGGCTCATTGCAGCCAAGGTGTTGGGCCTGAAGGAAGCATCCAGAAGACCGTATGCATGAAACAATGCGCAAAGCTCAGCAATAACCAGTAAGCCCACACCCACAGCAGTCACACCTGAAACACACAGCCATCTCACGTGACAGGCACGGATAAAACAAGAAAACCTAATGAAGGACACATAAAAAGGCCTAAATATTCCTGTGTGGGATGGGAAAAAATAAATACTGCCACGTATTCCCCAAAATGCTGTTACATTTCCCCTACGATTACTTATGAATTCAACAGAATCCTAGTTAAAATGTAGACAGCATTTTTAAGAAGTTTAACAAGGTGATTTTGAATTTCACACAGAAGAGGAAATGCGCAACAAGAGTCAAGATAATTTTGCAATAACACACTAACGGGGAAGTCCTGGTTATACTAGGTGTGTATAAAACCCATAGGTAATAACACAGAAAACAGAACTGTACACACATGCATTTGTAATTGTGAGTTTCCTCAGTGGCAGTTCAAATCATTGGGAAAGAAGAAACTATTTATAATGTGAAATAAAATTCATATGTTATTTAAACATAAAAATTCTTCTCTGTCCTTTGGACTCCTTTCTCCCCTCACTGTGCATTGTGTATCTGCATTAGGCACTGACCAAACCTCCCCCATCGGCAGAAAATAGCTGCTCAACCATAAAGAGAAACATTCTCCTCGCATCAACAAGACAACTCCTTAAAAGATAACATCCCTTCTTGACCTTGTAAGGGGTCACATGACCCAACTTGATGACTTAGATCTGGATTATGTAAACTGTCAATAATATGTCATTTGATGTACCACCCTCTGTCTCAAAAAAACTTATGTAAGTGTGTCTTGATTTCTAACTGGCAGAACGGTTCTCAGAGCTTTCTGAGATGTTCTTGCTGGGTTATAATCCTCAAATTCAGCTTGAATTAAATTTTCCAATTCTTTCTTAGCCTGACTAATTTTTTGTCGACAATAAAATAATGTGGGAAAAAGTGAAGTTAAACTCTAACCCCTAACACTAACTACAGAAAATGCAGATGCATATAAACAACAAGGACCAACTGTATAGCACAGAGAACTATATTCAATGTCTTGTAATAACCTATAATAGAAAAGAATCTGAAAAAGAATATAGATATATATTTTTATGTATATATATGCATATATGTGTGTGTATCTGAATCACTTTGCTGTACACTTAAAGCAAACACAACTGTAAATCAACTATACCTCAATTTTTCAAAAATCATTAAAAAAAGAAATCACAGATGGAGTAATCATTGGAAAGTTAAAAAAGAAGCAGAACTATAAAGGTATTATCAGAGGCTATCTACATAAAGAATAGTTAACTTTATAATCAAAGACAGATTTGCCAAGCAAAACATAAAACCCAAAAGCCATAAAAGAACTTGACACGTTTAACTACAGAAAAATCAAATATTTCTATACGATAAACCTAAACCCATGACTAGGCTATATCAAGAATTCCAACTTACAAAAAAGTATGACAAACAGCCCAAGAGAACAGTGAGCAGAGGAAATGATCAGACAGTTCATACTAGAAATCCTCACAGCCAATTACTACTCTCAACCCAACTATCAATCAGAGAAATACCAATAAAAGTAAGAGTCAACAATTTTAAAGAAATTCGTATGGTAGAAGGCTCTAGACAATGACTGCTCTCAGAGAAGGCTGGTGAGATTGCAAATTGCTAGAGCATTTTAGGTCGGTAACTTATTAGTGTCCATGAAGCTTAAAATATCTTACCAGTCAGCCTGGCAATTATGCTTCCAGAAACCTGTTCTATAGCAATGCAGCACTGAGATGCGTGTGTCACACTGTTCATGGAAGCACTGCTTGCAAACGGGAAAAACTGAAAATAGCCTGCAGGTTATCAGTGCAGGAATG